AAAATTATGAACAATTTGTAACGCTATAGAAAAATGATCAGTAACTGTAGTTTTTATTATTAAAGGTAATAAATGTTGTAATAATGTTTGTTGTTTTACTTTAATGAATATGTGTTCAATACATGATTTATATTCTCCTTGGATTCTAGTTGGACTATTTATAACCGATTTGTATCCAAATTGATTCATTAGGCTAAGATATTCATTTACCTGTTGAGTTTTCGATAGAACGTCTATATTTATATCGCCTAGAAATAAATAACAATATTCATTATTAGTAGTATTAACCTGTAGAAATTGTTCTAAAGATTCTATAAAAGTATTAATGGTAGATGCTGGGGATCTATAATATGCAGTTATAAGTATGTTTTCATGTTTATTTAATTGTATGAGTAATTGAATGGCATTACTGTGCGCTAGAGGTAGTATTTTATATGTATGTTTAAATGTTGATTTTATAAAGATAACAACTCCGTCACACTGATTCAAATTACCGCGATTGTAAATAATGGAATATCCAGGAATAGTAAATAGATCCAAATCATCTATTATTCTTGTTTCAGTAAATACTATACAATCGATATCTGTTTCTAAATTATTTAAAAAAACCTTGTATTCATCTATATTCCTATTAAGACTACGAATGTTATTGTGAATTATTTTGAAATTATTAGTATTACTATTTACATTTAAAACATCTTGTAATTCTTTGTAGTCCTCCAGGGTGAAATCTTCCACTTTTTCAACCATGAAATTATTGATATACGGATCCATTAAATTAAAAAAATTTTATACTCTAAGAACAATATACCAAACCGGCAAATTTTATGAAACACAAATAGTAAAAAATTAAGTAAAAAATACAGAAATTAATATTTACACTATTTATTTATTTTTATTTGAATTAAGCCTTGTTCTTGGCTTCAAATTTTTTGGAGTGGGATTCTGAAAGCTGTCTTCTCTTTCTTCTTCAAGCAGCGTTGTGGGATTTGGAGTATTTGGTGCACTACTAGATCCTTTTTCTTCTTCTTCAAAAGATTTTAGATCTTCTAGAGAATATTTATTGTCGTCTATCACAAGATAGTTACCTCGAATATAACACTTCTTATATTTTTCAGATTTTCTGTATTCTATTAAATAATTTTTTAGTTGTTTATATGTTTCCCTGTCTTCCTCTGTTAAATCTTCGTTAATTGAGAAACCAGACCCTTTGAGGTTTTTTCTTTTTTGAAATATTTCGTTTTTCTTAAAGTATGTTACGAATTCGATTTTTAAGGGAGCTGCTGGTGATTTTCCAAGAGTATAGAAGTTACTTATATCTCCTTCACTTACTTCGACTCCAACAAGTTTTTTTATCTCGTTAATAACTAATTCTGTTCTTAAATCTTCCTGTGGCTTATTGAGCCCAAATAAAATTAAATTGTTTTTTCTCTGGTTTTTTTCCAGATATTTTATTTTTTGTTTCAGTGTAGAATTTTCTTGTTCTAATACTCTTATTTTAGCGTTTTGTTCCTCTAGCTTCAGCATTAATCGAGTCTCGCTTGAATCAATGGCAAGCTTTAATTCAGATCTATTCTTTTTTACTTCTTCTAAAACCTTTTTTAATGATTCTTCAACAACTCTTCTGATCACTGATTCTGACATCTTATTCGGAATATGAGATTTAAAAATTAATAATTAATTTATAGTGTATGGCCACCTTTATATTAATAGATTTATTAAATTCTTATCAGGGTAAGTTTAAACCAAAAAACTATTTCAATATCGGTAAATTTTAGTTTCCAAAGGAAATTTTATGAAAATAAGCACATAGATACATACAGTTTTACTAGTTTTGAACTTATGGCACAATCATTTATCACAGGAATGCACTTTTAACTTAAATTTTTCGTTGAAATATCTTATTTCTGTCACTTTTTGAGAACGAGGTTAACAAACATATGTTCACTTAAAGCAGACCACACATTTATATATCTGAGTATCTATCAATCTACATTGAAGTAACAATTTGTATGGTACCCATAATTCACTAGAGTGAATTATGATAATTCACGCTTTTGTAATTCTGGCACATTCCGGTAGGTGACTCAATGTCTAACCAGGTTTTTGAAAATATTCAAAATTCATCTAATAATTTTGATTTTAAATCCTTTAGTCTGGTTCACAAGTGCCATTTCCCTCGAAACCTGTCCTCCAGCACCGAAAATTATGATTTTGGGCTCATTCGATTCGGACTGGCATCTAGAACATTCTATCAAAATTCCAAGAGGGGCTGAAAAAAAATGCAAAAGTTATAAACAATAAAGTAAAATAAAAAATAAGGGTTTGGTTTTTTTGAAATATTTCAAAAAATATTTGAGATAATCGAAATTTGAAAAAAGATTCTTAAAGAGCAGGAAATTTCCTAAACAAAAGTCTTACCTCCCGGAACTGTACCAACAACCCTTATAATTTTAATTAAGCGGCGAAACTAACGGTAAAAACGCGGGGTTCGGCTGCCGCGCGCATCGCCCCAATCTGACACATGAACTAAAAAAATTATTTTAACTGATTAAATATTAATATTAAGGAATAAAAAAATTTGGGTACTAAGTAGATATATAAATAAACAATAATCTGTAAACAAAAAATTTTTATCACTATTTTTTTATTAATTATGCTTTTGTTAATTAGTTAATTTTCACCATTTTAATGTTAACATAAAAACGCTGATTATTTCAAAACAAGAAATCTAGAATTTTTTTTGATTTTTTTGAGCTATTGTTAAAAGGGTTTAGAAGAGATCCCCGTTGGAAAAATTCAAAAATTTTGATTGATTTTGATTTTTTTTTTAAATCATTATTTTCATCAAGGATAAAATTCCAAAGAAAAAGTTTTCAAAAATATAATAAACAATGCATTTGTCTATAACAATTATTTAAATAATGTTAGTTAAAAATAAAAAAAAAATATTGTTATATGGCTTTTATCAATAAGAAAACAAAATATTAATAATAATTGGAAAAAAATGGCTTTATTTACATAAATATTTTTTTAATGCCTTTGATTGTTAATAAAAAAGTGAAAAATCAAAATTTTTGAATTTTTCCAAAGGGGATCTCTTCTAAACCCTTTTAACAATAGCTCAAAAAAATAAAAAAAAATCTAGATTTCTTGTTTTGAAATAATCAGCGTTTTTATGTTAACATTAAAATGGTGAAAATTAACTAATTAACAAAAGCATAATTAATAAAAAAATAGTGATAAAAATTTTTTTTTACGGATTATTGTTTATTCATATGTCTACTTAGTACCCAAATTTATTTATTCCTTAATATTAATATTTAATAGTTAAAATAATTTTTTTAGTTCATGTGTCAGATTGGGGGGATGCGCGCGGCAGCCGAACCACCGTTATTTTCGCCGCTTAATTAAAATTATTAGGGTTGTTGGTACAGTTCCGGGAGGTAGGACTTTTAGGAAATTTCCTGCTCTTTAAGGATCTTTTTTCATATTTTGATTATCTCAAATAGTTTTTGAAATATATCAAAAAAACCAAACCCTTATTTTTTATTTTACTTTATTGTTTATAACTTTTGCATTTTTTTTCAGCCCCTCTTGGAATTTTGACAGAATGTTCTAGATGCCATTCCGAATCGAATGAGCCCAAAATCATAATTTTCAGTGCTGGAGGACAGGTTTCGAGGGAAATGGCACTTGTGAACCAGACTACTTGCCTTTAATAAAATTCGAAAATTGTTCCGGTATTAACGTAACTATTAATGTAAATAAGTAATGATAAATACCTAGTTATTTATGCAGGGCCGGATTAAGCACCAGCCCCGGACCAAAACTTTTAAAGCGCCCCTTCCCAACAATTAATTTTTCAATCTATTATTATGGTATAAACATAATCAAAACAATTATAGACCAGGGTCGATAATTTTGAAATTGGTAAAAGTGAAAAAAAAATTATAGTAGGGTGAAACCCGTTAAAAAAGGACAAGAATATAATAAAAATGAAAGGAAAAATAATTTACGGGCGTTCTGAGGTCGGGTAGTGGAAGGGGGTGAGTTTTTAAGGGTAAAAAACGGTGTATCTCGATTTCCGGCAAAACTACAAGTCCTATGGAAAAAAATTAAATTACAAAGTTGTAGGTAATAAAGAGACCTACAACTTTTATGAATACACTTTTTTCACATAACCTCAAAATTTATGTGAAAAATTTAAATAATCAAGTTTTTGGTTTATTTTTATCTTATGCAAAAAAAATTTTTTTCTCGAAATTTGGAGAAAACTTACCTTTTTATGTCCTAAAGACACCGTAATTTTTTTGATTTGAAATATTTATTTTTTCACCTTATTTTGACTTAATATCGAAAAAACACCCTAATTTTCAATCGAAAATTCTCGCGTCAAAATATCAGCTTTATAAAAAAAGTCGGAGAGTTTTTTGTTCGTTGAAATCTCTTCTTTCTGATAAGTAAAAAAATATATACATAACTATGGCAAATGTTCTGAGAAAATGCAAAGAAAGGAAAAAAATTCGAATCCGAATTTTTTTTTAATCACTATGTACAATTTTGAGCTATTTAGTAAAATTTATACTTTAATTACTTGAAAAACGTAAGATTCTATGTTACATTGATAAACAAAAAAATACAAATCGAAATATACTACTATAATTAACAACCAAATAACAACGGTGGATTTTTACTGCACAAAGTAATTTGGCAGAAAAATTAAACGGTGGAAGAAATCATGAATAAATATTTTCGCTATGTAGAAAAACATTACGCAGCAAGCAGCTATATCGTTTTTGATGGGTACCCCGAAATTAAAAAATCAGTTACTGTGACAACAGTACCAGCAGCTACTTCAACTAAAAAAGGAGAACGTAGTCGTAGAAAAACCTCAGACAATATTCCAGAGTTTGATTATCAAAACCATACAAAAATATAATTTCTGCAAAAAAAAATTATCTAACGAGAAAAACAAGGACAAAATAATAAAAACGTTAATGAAAAGATTACAGTCACAAGGATTTTCATGTAAACAAGCAGAAGAAGATGCTGATGCAGACATTATTAAAACTTCGATAGAAATTGCCAGAGATACCAATAAAACTGTCATTGTTGTGGGTCAAGATATTGATTTTTTGGTCCTTTTGAATCAATTAACTTCAAATAATCATGACATTTATTTTCTCAAACCAGGTTCTGGAAATGTAAAAGATCTATTTTTCACGTCTAATAGTTTCAAATATGAATCCTTCAAAAATATCGTTGCATTTCTGCATTGTTTTTCTGGTTGCGATACAACATCTGGATTTGCCGGAAAAGGAAAGAAGAGTATTGTAAATTCAGTATTAGACGATAAAAATGTGTCAAATTTGGCCAATATTTTTTATAAAAAAGATGCAAACAAAAAAGATATCGAAAAAAATGGATTACAATTAATCAAATCTATTTATAAATGTAAAAATGATAATATAACACTGAATCAATTAAGATTTCAAAAATATCAATTGGCAAAATATGGGGGGGGCTTTCTTTTTCTGGAATAGATAGGGTTAATAGACAGGTACGATAAAACTTAATATTATTGATTCTGGCTAAATGGAAAACACATCAAACAGCCATAAAAAAAATTGGCAAAAATTAAATCATTTTTCATATTGGCAAATCTCCCACCCACAGAAGGTGCAGCAGAACAACACTGTTACAGGGCATATTATCAACTTCAAACTTGGCTACGTAACGAACTGACAGCAACAGATTGGGACTGAAAGCAACATCAACGTGGGATTATGCCCAAATTTACAGAGAAGGAGTTAATTCCGGAAATATTGCTCAAAACTATTTGCTGCAGCTGTGAAACTGGATGTAACAGTTTAAAATGTAGCTGCCGAAAACATGGCTTAAAATTCACAAATTGATGCTCAAATTGTAATGGTTCTGAATAATGCACCAATGTGGTAGAAAAAACCTACGAGGAAGTTAGTAATTCAGATGAAATTATGGATGAAAGACTAATTCAGACTATAAATAATATTGAATACGAAGACGGTGATGGTCTTGAAGATTTCGAATATCTACTAGAATCGGGAAGGTTTGTCGAATCTAACGATGAAGAAATGCCACCGAAGAGACAAAAAGTAATGGATAAGTGATTAGGGTTCAAGGTAAGATTTATAAATAAGAAGATTAATGCATTTTAAAATATTATTATTAATAATAATAATCAGTATAAAGTATCTAAATTAAATAGTACGATTTACATTTCTATTCATATATTATGAGATTTTTTATGACATAAATGAAATTAGAGTTTAATAAATCAACTTTTTGACTAAAAAAAATTGCAGCAATCACATTTTTTAATTGAAACCCCCCCTTTAAATCCTATCTTTAATGTTTAGAACAACTATTTTCGCATGTTTCTTGCAATTTTTATGATTTCTGGATTTGTATTTTTTTGTTTATCAATGTAACATAGAATCTGACATTTTTCAAGTAATTAAAGTGTCAATTTTACTAATTAGCTCAAAATTGTACATAGTGATGAAAAAAAAAAATTTCGTATCCGAGTTTTTTTCTTTTCTTTGCAGTTTCTGAGAACATTTACCATAGTTATGTATATATTTTTTTGCATTATCAGAAAGAAGAGATTTCAACGAACAAAAAACTCCCCGACATTTTTTAAAAAGCTGATACTTTGACGCGAGAATTTTCGATTGAAAATTAGGGTGTTTTTTTCGATATTAAGTCAAAATAAGGTGGAAAAATAAATATTTCAAATCAAAAAAATTAAAGTGGCTTTAGGACATAAAAAGGTAAGTTTTCACCAAATTTCGTGAAAAAAAATTTTTGTTTTTGCATAAGAAAAATAAAAAACCAAAAAATTGATTATTTGAATTTTTCACATAAATTTTGAGGTATGTGAAAATAGTGTAATCACAAAAGTTGTAGGTCTCTTTATTACCTACAACTTTGTCATTTAATTTTTTTTCCATAGGTCTTGTAGTTTTGCCGAAAATCGAGATACACCGTTTTTTACCCTTAAAAACTCACCCCCTTCCACTTCTCGACCTCAGATCGCCCGCAAATTATTTTTCTTTTCATTTTTGTTATATTCTCGTCCTTTTTTAACGGATTTCATCCTACTGTTATTCTTTTTGTTTCAAAAATTATCGACCCTGGTCTATAGAGGAAAAACCTTATTAACTATTTGAAAGCTACCTTACCAGCAGATATCAGTCTGTAAAAGTAAGTGGAGAGGAAAGTGATCGAAAGCCAATAAAATACAGGGTGCCCCAGGGCAATGTTCTAGGTCCAATTTTATTCAACATTTATATAAATGGTCTGTTTTCAATCTCTAGTAAGGGCAGAATTGTAAGATTTGCAGATGATACTGCAATCTTCTACGAAGCACCTGATTGGGATGAATTCAAACGCATGGCTGAAAGAGATTTTCTCAATATTAAGACTTGGCTCGACAACAAAGTACTTACTGTAAATTTAGACAAGACTAGATACGTACCTGTCAGCTCGAACATCAGCTGTCTCCCCAAATTTAATCATCTTGTCATTTTCATAAATAAAAATCATCTTGCGCTTCAACCTGTAACACAAATAAAATACCTTGGCATATTTATTGACAGTCATCTGAAATGGGAATACCATATAAATTATACCGTAAAAAAACTGCAACGTATCTTATATAAGTTTAAATTTCTGAAAAGATATCTTCCAGTTAGCTGTTTAATAACTTTGTATTGTGCCTTAGTCGAAAGTCATCTTAGCTTAGCTTAGCTTGGGGAAGCGCACTAAGGTGCCATATCCAAACGCTTGAGATTATACAAAAAAGTTTTTAAAACTTATGTTGTCGACTCAAGTCAAATCATGGATCTTAGGCAACCATACTTCTACTGCATGGCATGTCACTTTAATACTAAACATGCTAACTTACCTTTTCACTCCTATCAAACTCGCAATACAAATCTCCATATAGTGCCACAAGTAAGTAAATCACTCAGTCAACGATATTATACCTATCTTGCTCCTGAGATACATAATGAATTACCAGAATCAATAAAAACAATTAAATGTAAAATTAAAATGAAGAACAAACCCTTAAAAAATTTATTTTAGAAAATCTACGACAAAAATTTAAAGATATAATAGAATGTAGAAATACTTAACTTGCTTCCGTTTCTAGTCTCAGCTTCAGTTTTTTTAATTATATAACCTTTTTTTTATTTTTTTGACATTCAATAATATCGATTGTCACGTTTTGCCTGTAATTCACTTCAATCTTCTAATTATAAAAATAGATCAATTAAATTTCTCTTATATATTTATTGTATGTATGTATTAGTATAGTTTTAGTTATTTGTATATTTTATTCTTGTTTTTTATCTGTACAACATCAATGTTTTTAAATAATTATTTATTGTACATTTTTTTTAAGTTTCATGTATTACAATTTATTCATTCAATTACTTTTAATTTTAAGTTACCATTTGTATTTTTTTATAACTATATTTTTGGATGAATAAACGATTATAAACTATTATAAAGTCCTACATATTTTTTCGCCGTACCATAGCAGCACTTTTGAAATGGACTGGTATCTATTAAAAATTCAGAAGATATTGTCGAAATTGTTTAATTATATCTAGATCTACTCTTGTTATTTTTGAAGAAACCTCTGGATTTTCGAAAATACGCCTTGTGTTTTCCAGTAGCTAGGTCATATTTCGACATATTACCGTTCTGCCTAGTGTGACATCTTTTGACTATGTCTACAGTGACGGTAAACGTTAACAACGTTACACATTTTAGACAAACACTTGAACCCGCCAATTTTTGATTAAAAGGGTATGTCTTTCTATTATGTTCTCTACTGTCATACGTTATTTCCCTTCCCTCTGTCACTCTAATCTTTACAATATAAATAGATAATTGATAATTTAGCAATATAACTATTCATTGTGGTACTTCTGATTTTAGAGTTTTCTAGCGGGATAAAAAGTGATACAAACCTGTTGTAAAGTGTAACAAGCTAATTTTATTTATAATGTAATGTACAAAATATCAAAACAATTGAAATTATTGGAAATTCCCTCAAATCTTCCAAAATAACAAATTTATACTACGCATTAAATGACTAATAAAATTATCTTTAAAATGAAGTGTCACACTTTACAATAGATAAAAAAAATATCCTCCTAGGCCAGTGGTCACCAACCTGTCAATCGCGAGCTACCGGTAGCTCGCGGAGGCAATTCTGATAGCTCTCACAACGATTTTAATTTAAAAATACAAACTGCAAAAATCAGAGAAGCTTCCGAAAATTCCACAAAAAAATGTAATTGTCATAATATTAAACATAAACAGCGGCAACGTTGCGGTGAGCGATCTGCCGCTAACGCCATCAAGCTAGAATCGGATAGAACCGACCAGCCGGACCAGCGCGTTAGTGTTCGAGAACGATCAGGATTGCTTTGAACGGGATAAATACGCACGGCGCGGCGACATTGCGCTTAGTTTAAAACTGAACGCGTAACCAACGTCCAGCGGTTGGGTTAGTAGAGAACAACAAAAAATAATATTATGGCAAGCAGTTGTAAGAAGGTAAAGACATACCACTTTCATTCGGAATGGGAAGAACAATACTTTGTTACAGAAGTTAAAGATAAAAATGTGTGTTTGTTATGTAATACTTCGGTCTCCGTTGCTGAAAAAGGAAATATTGAGAGACATCATAAAACTGTACATTCTAATTTTGAAAAATCATTCCCACTACATTCTGCCGCCAGAAAAAAGAAACTGAAACAGTTAAAAAAGCAGTTAATTGGACAACAATCAATATTTTTAAGAACAGTCGACAAAAATAAGGCTGCAACTGAAACATCGTAACGTGGTCCCAGATAACTGCACAAAAAAAGAAACCTTATAAAGACGGGGAAATGATAAAACAGGCGTTTGTAGAAGCTGCTGATTCGTTATTTGTCAACTTTAGAAATAAAGACGAGATAGTTTCAGCTATAAAATCTATGCAACTTTCTGCTAATACAGTGATGAGACGTGTAGAAGTAATGAGCAATTATATTTTTTTTACAGTTAAGAACTGACTTAGATAACTGTGTTTATTTTTCACTTCAACTGGATGAATCAACAGATATCGTTGACACTACCCAGATGGCCGTGTTCGTCAGGATGGTTTTTAGTGATTATACGATTAAAGAAGATCTTTTGAAGTTTATTCCACTGAAAGAACACACTACTGGACAGGAGTTGTTTTCTCATTTAAAAAATATTATTTCTTCTGAGAAAATTCCAATATCGAAAATGGTAGGCTTGACAACCGATGGCGCTCCAGCTATGGTGGGTTGTGATAAGGGTCTGGTGGCGTTATGTCGTAAAGACGAAACTTTTCCGCAATTTCTCTGTTACCACTGCATTATCCATCAGCAAGCATTATGTGGAAATTTCCTGAAACTAAACAACGTTTTATAAAACTGATGGTAAAAATTGTGAACAAGATTAGAGCTCAAGCTTTACAAAGACGATTATTCAAAACCTTGGCCGATGAAGTTGATTGTCAATACGGGGACCTACTCTGAAGTCCGATGGTTAAGTAGAGGACGGGTGCTGAAACGTTTTAATGATGTCCTATATGGCATAGTTCAATTTTTCAAACAACGCGATGAACCGACTCCGGAACTAGAAAATTCAATCTGGCTTAGAGATTTTGGTTTTCTCGTGGACATTACAGAGAAATTAAACGAACTTAATTTGCAGCTTCAGGGGAGAGACAAAGAACTAGCGGAATTGATTTCTGATATAAAAGCATTTATCAAAAAGCTGGAGTTTTGGGAACAAAACCTAATTAACAGCGATGCCAAGCATTTTCCTATTCTTTCAGAAAAAATATCTCAAAATCCATTAGAACCCTATGACAGCAAATATCATGTAGAAATAGTTTCTACCCTGAAGAATAACTTCAAAAATCGTTTTAAGGATTTCAACGAAATGGCTTTAGTAGCGCAGTTTGTTGTTTCACCCTTTATGGAAATTGATATCCAACAGTTTGCAACTTGTGTTATGCAGAACTTTGGCGAAGACATCGCTGCAACAGAAATGGAAATAATTGAGTTTCAAAATAATTGAGCCTTAAAATCGTTAGTCTCAAGTACCAAATGTATCTGGCCTATTTTAAGTAAAGACAAATATTCAGTTCTATGCCGTGTTGCCTTGAAAGTTAAAGCATTATTCAGTTCAACCTATTTGTGTGAATCTTCTTTTTCCAATATGAAGTTTATTAAGAACAAATATCGCAATCGACTTACAGATGAACATTTGGATAATTGTATTCGAATGGCTGTATCAAATTATACTGCAAACGATAAAAAAATTATCGATGAGTCTGAGTGTCAGCCTTCTCATTGAACGTGCTTTTTTATTTTTCAATGTTTATGTTCATGATAGGGCGTTACTTTTTTGTTGTTATTATTAACTATTTTTAAATCTTACGTGACATGCCGTTGTGGTTGGATAAAAGTTTGTGTTTATTTTTCAAACACCTTCGTTTGGTAGGTAGGAATGTAGCTATGAACAAGTACGTACTAGTAATATTAGTTATTTTGTTATTAGTTTATTATTAGTACCTATGTATTATGTATTACCAGTTAAATAGTAAAATAAATACATATAATGATAAATTAACTGTGGATTATTTCATTTACGTTGGGTTACGTGGCTTCCGTGTGGGTAGCTTGCTGTTTATTTCAAAATTAACAAAGTAGCTCAACACATTGAGAGGTTGGCGACCATTGTCCTAGACGGTGCTAAAATCAAAAGTAAGGCAGTTACGAAACTATCCGTACAATTACCATTTCCATTATAATGGTTAGAGAAACGCAGTAGAGGGGAACGACATATGACAGTTTAGGATATGATAGATCAAAAAATATATTGAAGCAGTTCCTGATAATGGCTCTGGTACGTCGAGTCACCCTGTACAAACAAAATAAGCTCAATATTCTCTGTATGAAAAATATTAAGTACCTATGTGAATTTTTATGACAATAACCCTTGTTTAAAATAAAATGATTTTATTAATATTCTAATAACCTAAAAATAGTTAATTAATATCATGTAATACTCAATTCAAATGTCTTTAATGAGTTTTATATCTGGTAGTGGTTAAAAAAATACAATTATAATGGCATAATTGTTTATAAAGGCTATATTTTTATTAACACGTTGATTGCCTAAAGTAACAATTTGATTTAATCATATTTTATTATTAAAAACTCTAGTTCCAGGGCATAGTTATTATAAAAAAGTTTGTAAGACTGATTGAAAATAATTTAAATTGGCAACACCTATGCCATACCTATTTAAAGTCCAATGTTATAGAAATCTCATTTCAAAATCCTTTGATCTTTTGCCGGGTTTCGCATCTGTTGTGGTTAATCTGTGCAAAAAGCATAAAAAATGTTTTTTTTTTTTAAAGGTCTTACGAATTATCTCGTAGTTGGCTTCTGTAACAGAAATCTCTTCGCGGAAGTCAACTATGAGTTAACTCACACGCAGATGCGCTTCGACCTGTTGCTTCTCTAAAGCTGAATCGTAGATACGCATCCACATTTGTCAGTAGTATCTAAGAAATTGTCGAATGCATCATGTTTATGTCTTTCTTGAGTGTTTTGTTTATAATTCTTGTTATAATTAAATTATTAAGAGCCCAATATGGATAAGAAAAGACCACTGACTCAAAATGAAATTGAGTACTATGCAAATCAAAGTGATTCAGAATTTGACAGGACTTTTGGCGAGGATGGTAACGACAGTAGTGATTATGAACCTTCTGAGAATTCAAGTGATAGTCAAGATGAAGTCGTCTTTGAACTTGGAAGTTAATCCCGAATCTGAAGATAATGATGATGATTCACAAGCAACAACATCAAATGCGAATGGTAATTTATGGACAGAAATTCAACAAAATCCTGAATTAGAAAATGTTGGTGTGAAATTGGATACGACAAATTTTACAGTACAAATGCTGGTGGACTTATTTTTTTCGATTTAATTTCTTGCATTACTAGTGAAACAAACTTATTTATAAGCTGCGCAAGAAATTGAAAAATGCAAAGCAATAAAAAAATCTAATAGGTTATCAAACTGGCAAGACATCAGTGCTGTAGAGATGAAAGTTTTTGTTGGACTTTTGTTGCAAATGGGACCTTGTACTTTGAACATTACTGGAGCACAAACAAGCTATATAATGTAAACTTTTGGCACTCACATATGATTTGAAATCGATTCCAGTTATTACTTCGTTATTTTCATTTGGTTGATAACTCAATACCATCTGACGACAGATTATACAAGGTGAGATCAATACTAAATATTTTCAATAATATAATGCGTGAAAACTATGTACCAGATAAAAATATTTGTATTGACGAATCCATAATGCTATGGCGGAAAAGACTGCTTTTCCGCCAATACATAAAAAATAAAAAACACAAATATGGTATCAATCTGTATGAAGTATGTGAGTCCGACGGTCTTGTAATAAAAATAAAGATTTACAGCGGAAAATCTGAGGAAAATGACAATAATTTAGGTCACACTACTGACGTTGTTTTACATTTACTTAAAGACTATCTCGATAAAGTATACACGGATTACAGGGATAATTTTTATAATTCTGTTACTCTTAAAAAAATGCTAAATACACGAAAAACTTATTTGTGTGGAACCTTAAGAAATATCAGAAAAGGAAATCCCAGACATGTGGTAAATCGTAAACTGAAAAAAGGGGGGTGTATTTGGCAGCAAAATGGTCCTGTTACTGTATGCAAATGGAAAGACAAACCAGATGTCCTTAGCATTTCAAACATGCATGCTGTTGAAATGGCTGAGGTGCCAATCGCAATGGAAAAATTTCTATGAAACCGAATATAATACGAGATTACAATAATAGAATGTCTGGCATTGACCGATCAGGGCGATCAGATCAAATGCTTTCGTACTACTCATCTCTAAGAAACACTATTTGATGGTCCAAAAAGGTTTCCTTACATATTATCGAGATATATATATATATATATATATACACAATGCTCACAAATTTTTTTAAAAAGTAACTTCTAAAATAAAACTGTTAAAGTTCAGGGAAGAATTCGTCGTCGCATTGATTGGAGAAGAGATTCAACTAGTTTCGAAAAAAATTAAATTCCAAGAGCTCCATTATTTAGAGAGTCTATCACCTACCGAAAAAAAAAAACAGCGTCCGACAAAGCCATGTCATATATGTACCCAAGCAAAAAAACGCCGAGAAACGCGTTATTTCTGTCCAGCCTGTAAAGAGAAGCCAGTCCTTTGTGTGGAAGATTGTTTTAGGAAGTTCCACAAACAATAAAATATTATTTTATTTCTTGAATTTTAACTAATTTTTATAATTATATTTTTTGTTCGTTTTTTAATAAATTTTCTGTTCATGCAAGCCAACAGTGATTTTTTTTTCTGTTCCCAGAAGCTATCTATCGATATTAGCACTGATATATTTCGAGTTTAATCGTAGATCCACAAAAATGGCAAGTAAACTCAGGACGAGACAACTCCTAGTTGGCGTCCTAGAAAAGAATGCAATCTACGAGTTATCTCGTAGTTGGCAGTCAACGTGTTAATTTGCAGCACTAGTATTGTAAACAGTCAGTACGGCATTAAAAGACGATAAAAATTTATTTTTTTTCTTATAGCACGCGCACTTATTATTAGTCCAACTACAAATTAAAAAATAAATTACAGTTATATCTCCTTTGCTATCTATTTCGCATCCTTGTGTCCTATATTTAATTCAGTCACGCCGTTTCAAAATTAACCGTCAGTTATAAATGACCGAATACGAAAGTAACGCCTTCTGCGTAACATCCAGTCACATCGCATTAAGATTAAGATTTATTCTTGGCGAAAAATAAAATAAAATTCCTGGCAACCGAATTTCGAAAATTATTTATAATGCCCTGACGCAAACGATATGTCCGATATGCTTGTTAAGAACAGGACCGTAACGAAAAAGTGTTTGGTACTTTTTTTGTCTAGTATGTAACTGTTATAAATTAGAGGAAAGTATTTTGAATTAACATTTTATGACATGTTTATATTATTTATATTTCTTATTTACTACTTAAATAAATTTATTATAATTTGTACTAACTGATACTTCTAAAGTAAATCAGATATGAAGGGTAACTGATAAAAAATGTTATGTTTTACTAATAAACGTTTTATAAAAACATATTTTGCACCAGATTATTCGTTTCTAACCCTTACCTGGGTCTCATATAATAAAAATTCTTACAAGCCTCAGG